TGCTCCTTCTATATCGAATGCAGGATCTTCGATATCAAACTCATAGTTTTGATAACAAAGAAGATATATGGTAACATATGGCACTCTCTTGTTTCATATGAAGTTTATGTCTGAATCTTTGTTGAGAAAAACACTCATGATTGGGATTTTGATTTGCAGGTGATAAATTTTAGTAGAAGAAAGAAAAAAGAGCGTGTCAGGGATTTAAAGCCAACAAAAAAATTTGTGTTTTCGATTAAGAAACAATATTGTATATACTGCAGCGATTATGAAATTTAATGCACGTTTATGTTGGAGAAAATATGAATATATTAATTTAAGATTAATCCTTTGATTGTGAGTTACATGTTCGTTCGACTTCCACACCTAAAATCCAGTAAATTCAATGCAGGTGGTTAACAAAAAGAAGTGTTTTCTCTACCCTTAAAAGAAGTTAAAAAGTTAAAATTGATGTATAGAACTCACTAAATATTTCTATCTTCTACCTAGGCGGGCTTGTTGGGTTGCGACCCTTGTTTAAGCTCCTTGCATTGTGATGCTTCCTTGGATCTTCTCAAATTGATTAATCTTTTCCTTGATGTCCATTCCCTTAAGGGTCGTCGGATTGCTGATCTCAGCGAAAGAATGTGTCATTACACATTCGCGAAGACTCTTCAGCGTCCTACACGCCATAATTTATGACAAAATTCAAAGCGCAATAGATTGACAACAATTGAATACCACTGAAACCAATATATAGTAAAAGCATTTAAGTTTACTTTCGAGAGATATAGCACTAGACGACCATAAAGCGTTTTCTAAACCTTTCGGAGTTTAGATAATTCTTGAGAAGTTAGCAACTCTAGATTTAATGTCTGAAAAATTAAATATACTAAACAGATAATTACAATTGCATGATTGAAAACACATAAACGAAAAGTTTGAGTTGTAAAACATCAAGTAATGTAAATGATTTTTTACTAAAGAATGGTGAAAAGAAAGGGATATCGAACCATTATTGGATAGAAGCAAAATGAAGATCATCTTCTCCTTTAAGTAAGGTCAAGGACTCCTTGTAAACTCTTTCAGCATCAAAAAGAACACAAAGTCTCTGGATGATATCAGAACCATGCCTAACAACATGTTTTGAGGTTTTAAGCTACCCTTGTGTTTCATATAAGCGTAACTAACTACATCATATTAAAATATAGGGCTTACCTCACCAAAGGAGAATTACAAACTTGAAAAGTTTGGACTAGACATGTGACAGGCTGCTTCAAGTGTTGATGATCTTTTAATATACTAGTACAAACCTCTTTTAATATACTAGTACAAACCTCCAGAATCGAGAGAAACCACCGACAAATATGATAGTCCATAAAATTATCAACATAAAAACCAATTACATAAGTGTTTTTATATACATTTGAAACAATTGATATTGCATATGTTAGTTTTATATAAATATATATACAAGCTTCGTTTAAATGTTTTATGTGTATCTTGTACAAGGACTGCTCCATGAAATTTTGACTATTTGTAATGGCAAAAGTCAAATGATACATCAAATGAAGAGTGCTCCACCATTAAAACGTCTTTAAGAATGTATTTCCGTTAAAATTGGATTATAATCTTGTCCAGACTTTCCATTACAAGATACTTGACAAGCGAACATTTACCATTATAAAGTTTATCGATTCCTACAAGATATGTATCTAGTAAAAGAAATGAACAAGAGAGAAGGTCGAATTTGAGAGCCTACGCAAATCAGAACCTATAAAAGTCACGCTAGCAACTGGGAAAAGGCCTACGCCATTCAATTTTTGCTGCAAAACTAGAAAAGATTGTGAAGGATGGTGTTGTTGATGTTCATGTAGTGACTGCATATGGATTGCCTTTGAAATTGTCATTCAAATTTTTTTTTTTGCGGTATGGTAGTGAATTGGTAAGTTTGACAATCTTCTTCATTTACTTTAAATCCTTTAAATCCATTAACTTTTGTTATGAAATTGATTAGAAAGGAATTGAAGTTCCATTTCTTTGTCATGAGTTTTATTATGTTCATTTTTAATCTTGTATTTTAAATACTGTTTTTTAGAACGGACAAAATAATTTTTTTTGGAGATTTGTTAGAACTCACATTCTTCCTGCTCTCCTACACCAGATAAAAGATAGTAAGTTCTTCTTTGTTGTTTGTTTTAGGTTATATCTATGATGTGTGTGATTATAAACAATTTTTCTAATATAGATATTTGTTGGGTTATCTTTATGATTGGTCAACTGCAAGCGGCCTTGAGGTTACAAATCTTCAGACTTCTGAGGTTCATATATTCAAACTTCTGAGGTTCTTTCCACGGAAAACCAGTGTAGATGTTGATCCTCATATACGGGTAGTAAACCTTCCCAAACTTCCATTTTATGGTCTTATGAACATCATTCCCGCGTGTTATTCACAACTCTTTGTGTTGAATTTGATTTGGAGTTGAATTCGTTTCTATGTTAATATGAGTCTTGGATGCTCATATTTCAAAAAAAATTGGTTTCTCTCGTAATTCAAATCGATTAAGTATGAATTAAACTAAAATTAACTAAATAGTCAATTTAACCAAGATTTTTTTTTTTTTTTTGATGAAGGGAATCTTTTACAGATTAGATCGGTTGTGTGATTTAGTGAATCCTTTAGGGAATCGGAGAGTAACTCCAAAAGCCCCAAGCTTAAAATTTTTATTCAGATATGCCCCAAGCTTAAAATCTATTTTTGTTTTGATTTTTTTTTTTAATTTAAAAAACGGTTAAATATGAAATTACCCTTAATGAATCTGCAAATTTACCAAAAAAACCGGAACCAAAAAAAAACTGATAAAGAC